GGGGGGGGGGGTGCCTGTCTCTGGATGCTCTTGTCACTCCCTTTCTGACTCAGAGGATGGTGTTTTGTTCAACATTGCCATAAAGCGCTCGGTATCCCAATGGAGATACTTGGATGATAGGCCCATGCCTGGGAAGACTGAGGCCTGGGGAGAGTAGATGGGGGTGTGGGTGTCCTCACGCCCCAGGGCTGCTGGGTGTGGCTAGCTTCAGAGTGGCTGGCTGCTGCAGCTGGGCCTGGGTCCAGGAGGTTAAAGACATAGGCTTGCCCAGGCCAAGCATCCCTGGGGGACTGTGACACCTCGAGCGCATTCCCCTGCCAGCACTGGACCTGCCCACCCCTCTCCACACACAACCAGCATTCTACTCTCGAAAAATCAAATTAGGGTGCACACTGAGACAGCCTACTGGGAGGCCCTGCAGCCCGGGGGAGAAGGCAAGGGAGGGGCAAGAAGAGCCTCTCACCTGTGGACCTTGGGTGTTTTCAGCACCGATGGGTGGAGCCACCAGGTCTGCCCCTGAGCTGCCCCTGAGCCCCACCCTCCCATGTCCTGTGGCTGGGCTGGCCCCAGAATGGAGCAAGTCACAGCACATACTGAACCCAAAGAACCAACCCAGCTCCACACCCTAAATCCAGGTCTCATCCCGGGCCTCCCTGGGAGGAAGGAGGGAGCCGCAGCCAGGGAAGGAGCCTGGAAATGGAAATGGCAGCTCCCCTTCCAAGTCATTTTCCCCCTACCCATCAGCCTAGACACAGCGGAGCTGCTCACAGCAGCTCCCCCAGGGGCTCGGGCCTGGCTTCGTTTATGGAGGGAGAATCAATACCAGCGTCCTCAGAGGAGGCACAATTCACTCCGCACCTGCCTGTGGATCGTTTTTGTGTTATTTTCTAAGAGAAAGGATTTGGGTTCTGAGTCATCTGGTGAAATAGAACAGCGTGTGGTTCCCATGGAGCCTGGGGCCGTGTCAGGCTGCTCTAGCTGGGCCCAGAACCTGAAATAATTTGGCAAGATCCCCTCCCATCCCTTCCCTCATACCTCTCTTCCTGCCTGTGCTCTCTTTCTGCTTTCTGGGGACCAACGCTGGACCAAGCCTGAGTGCTCGAGTCAGAGCTGCTGGGTGTGCCTCAGGGTGGATGGGAAGGAAGTGCCCTAGGGCTTGATCTGGCCACGGGACATAGGCTGGACATCAGCCCCGCTTGTCCCCCAGCTCTGTGCAAACCCAGCCTGCACCACTGTCCACGGTGCCCCCGGCCAGTGTGTGCACATCCAGAGCTCCAGAGCGAGGCTATGTGGCAAAGGACAGGTGCTCACATGACTTACCTGGGCAGGATGGGTGGCTCTGAGCCAGGCCCGACCTCAGCGACCTCCGAGGCATCTGGCTCCCTTCTCTACCATCTCCCTGAGCCGTCTGCAGGATGAGGGCGTCCAGGGAGCCTCGAGGCTGGCTCTCCTGCCCTCACAGCTCACAGGCCCGTTTCCGAAGCCCACAGGAAACCTCCTCCCAGAGCCTGTGGCTGCAAGAAAGCAGAGAGAGGAAGAGGGGTGGCGGAGAGAAGAGCTTCATTTACTGCCTGGAACAAACCCTCTCTGTGAAGCAGGACACACACTGGGGGCTTACAGAAGGGGAGACAAATGCTGTCTTCAGAGGCCGAAACTCTGAAAACTGGCTCAGCTGGCTCAGGAGGTTGGCGCCTGCCAGCACTCCCCGACTCAGTCCCCTGCCTGGGCCACTGAGGGTCCACGTAGTGAGATTTCTACTGGGCTGGGAGACATGCAGGGTCATTGGGAAGGCCGAGCTCAGGGCTCCTCTTCATGTTCCCCTTTCCTTCCTCCTGCCCTTCCTCCTAGCCAGATGCTAAGGAAGGGGGACCCCCATCCCCAAGCTCCTACCAAGTGCTTTATGAACTTATTCCATCAAATTCTCACAACAACCCTCACAGGCAGGATAGGCTGTCCTTTTTCTAGAGCTACCGTAATAAATTACTACAAACTGGGTGGCTTCAAACAACAGGAATTCACCCTCTCACAGCATGAAGGCCAGGAACCTTCGGTCAGGGCCCGCTCCCTCTAGGGCTCCAGGGGAGACTCTTCCCTCGCTTCTTCCCAGCTTCCAGTGGCTCCCAGCCCTCCTTTACTCGAGGCTGCAGCCCTCCTTTCTCTGCCTCCCCACGGCTTCTCCCCTGTGTGTCTTCTCTTCCTACAAGGGCATTTGTCATTGGATTTAGGGCCCACCCTAATCTAGGATGGTGTCATCTCAAGATCCTTAATATAATCACAGCTACAAAGACCTTTTTTTCCAAATAGGCTCACATTCACAGATACTGAAGGTTAGGACTTAGACGTGTTAGGATTTTACCACAATTCAACCCCTTATAGGTAGGTATTACTACTCTCCCAGGTAATAAAAGAGGGGATAGTGGCAGAGCAAGCATGTAAATCTATCTTTGTTGGACACCATGGTCTGCGTGTGTCCCTCTGTCCAGCCATCTCCTCTGTGACCTTGGGAGGTCCTGAGCTTCCATGTCCTTGTCTGTCACTGGGGGTGGTAACAACGAGATGACAATAGAAATAAAGGCTGTCACTTAGGAAGTTCGTGCTATGGCCAGGCCCTGTGCTAAGCCCAAAACCAATCATAGGATGTAGGTACTGTTGTGAACTGCATTCCACAAATGGGGAAACTTGGTTTTAGAGAGGTGACATGACTTGACCAAGGTTACACGGCCAGCAGCTGGCATGTCACAGAGCAGCACCAGCACCCCGACCTACCCAGTGCCAAAGCCCGTGTCCTCAGCCACCAGTGGGAGCTGCTTCATGAGGTTGCCACTTCCCAGCCATCCGGAGGCTTCATGTCCATGAAAGGGCTCAGTGTGCTGTGAGGCGTCCTCAAATGGGAGTCAGCCCGTGTTTTCATGGCTGTCATGGTGGCCTCCCTGGTGCCACTGAGGGGCTCTTCTCCCTTCTGGTGGCAGAAGTGTGACTCACACCCAGGGAGAGCCTAAGCAAGACTCAGGTGGAGATGACTTTGGCCCACTGGGTGTAACCAGCAAGACAGGACCGTCACTTAAGCCCAGCCCAGCTGCCCCCATCCCATCCAGCTCCCAACGCACAGCACCGCTGTCTCCAGGACCCAGTGAGAATGTGCCAAGTCAGGGGGCTGGGCCTTGGTCTTCGGGGCCCCTGGCCGGTACTGTGGCTGTGCCCGAGAGCTGGTGGCCGGTCTCACTGCCCTCTCTGCTCTGTGTCCTGCCCGGCCCAGGCATCGTGCGCGCCTCCAGCGTCTTCCCCATCCTCAGCACCATCCTGCTGCTGCTCGGCGGGCTCTGCATCGGCGCCGGGAGGTTCTACAGCCGCAAGAACAACATCGTCCTCAGTGCCGGCATCCTCTTCGTGGCTGCAGGTGAGCTGCCCACTCTGGTCCCCACTGCACAGAGTGCACACCCTGGGGCCAGGGGGCAGACCGCACAGTCTCTGTGCGTGATTAACCTCAGAAGCCCGGGGCGGGGGGAGAACTGGGGCAGGGTCTTGGGAGCAAACTGCCACATGGGTATGGGGTCTCCTGTCGGGGTGATAAATGTTCTGAAACTAGACAGAGGCTGTGGTTGCACAACATTGTGAATGTCCTAAATGCCAATGGATTGTGTACTTTAAAGGGTTAATTTTATGTCATGTGAACTTAACCTCAATAAAAATAAGTCCAGGTGTGAAAATGCCACAAAAGGGCAGTACTGGTGCCTCACAAGCTTGTAACAGGGGTGCCTGGCTAAGTTGGGGGGTCAGAGGGGTACCCAGAGGGACTCACAGACAGCAAGACCGGCAGGTAAAGACGAGGTGAGGGGGCTCAGGGCTGGCCAGGGCGCAGAAGAGACAGAGAAGCTTGATGGGTGAGCAAGGGGGCTGGGGGGAGCAGGGCAGACCCCCTGCCCATCCCATCCCAGCTGCCCAACTCTCCTGACTGAGAATGGACAGCAACACCTCAGAGCCGCCCCACTATGACCCAGTGAAAACCCAGAGCTGTGGTGACCCTGATATACCACCTGCCTCAGGTTTCTCTGAGCCCCGGTTGAAACAGTTCAGTGCCCGCCTCCGGCAGCAGATGGGGAAGAGATCCTGGCCCGAGGTGGTCTCACAGCTGGTTAGTGGACGGTCGGCGCACAGTGGGGTTTCTGGCCTGAGTCTCTGGGGGCATGTGGAGGGGGCACCTGCCAGGGCAGGGCTCAGCCGGTGGCATCCTCGAGGCCCCAGTGACACCGGTGGAGTTGTGATAACGGTGCAACAGGGTCCCTTGTCAGGAGAAACAGGAGCCACCTGACGTCTTAGCCTCATCCCAGGAAATGTGAGGAAGACAGTAAGAGCGGCCGCCTGCAGGAGGGGAACGGGCCGCTCAGAGCCTGTGCCTTAGCCTGCACCTCATCTGAGCTTAGTACTTCGTTACACCTGTTCAAAATCAGTTACTTAAAAGACAAGTCAGCAACCGTAATAAAGCAACACCCGTCAAAGCAGCGAGTGGCCGCCAGCCCCTCCTCCCCGGCCTGTCCCCTGTCCCCGCGGATCTAACCTCTGCCCTCCCCTCCCGCCCCCTCTCCTCCTTGCCTTTCAGGCCTCAGTAACATCATAGGCATCATCGTCTACATTTCCAGCAACACGGGCGACCCAAGCGACAAGCGCGACGAAGACAAGAAAAACCATTACAACTACGGCTGGTCTTTTTACTTTGGAGCCCTGTCCTTCATTGTGGCCGAGACCGTGGGCGTCCTGGCCGTGAACATTTACATTGAGAAAAATAAAGAGTTGCGATTTAAGACCAAACGGGAGTTCCTCAAGGCCCCGTCCTCCTCGCCCTACGCCAGGATGCCCAGCTACAGGTACCGGCGACGGCGCTCCCGGTCCAGCTCCAGGTCCACGGAGGCCTCGCCCTCCAGGGACACGTCGCCGGTGGGCCTGAAGATCGCGGGGGCCATCCCCATGGGCGAGCTGTCCATGTACACGCTGTCCCGGGAGCCCCTCAAGGTGACCACGGCTGCCACCTACAGCCCGGGCCAGGAGGCCAGCTTCCTGCAGGTGCACGACTTCTTCCAGCAGGACCTGAAGGAAGGCTTGCATGTGAGCATGCTGAACCGGCGGACCACCCCCGTGTGAGCGCCCCTTCCTCCCGCCGGCCTCGCCCCGGAGCGGCTGCTTGGATCCCCCATGAGGGCTTCCGGCCCTTAAGACGGACCCGCGTGGACTGAAGCCAAACCCAACCCTCCCTGGTCTCCAGATGCGTCACGGGCTGGCTTGGAGCAGAGCTGGGAGGCTGGAGTCAGGAGCAGAGGGATGACTTTACCCCCCACGAGGGTGTGTTGATGCCCCGGAACCTCCCAGGAGCCCCAGACGCCATCCTGAGGCTGCCCAGCCTTCACCAACCTGAGAAAACAAAATTGAGCCATTTTCCCCTCTTGGAAACAAAGATTTCCAGAAGAACGCACTTTCGGGGCCTTCCCTCCCTGCCTTGGGCGCAGGGCCACCGAGCGTCCGCTGGCCGGGCACATGGGGGCCTTAGGACACTGGTCAGCTGCTTTTTAACCCGAGGTTCCTGTGCCTGGGAGCCAGACATGTGGAAGCTTGCCCCTTCCTTCCCACCCATCTGTCTGTCTGTCTCTCTCTCTGGCAGTGGCCTGTTGTTGAAATAACCATGATCTTTGAGGAGAAAGGCCTGCGGCCAACTGGTGCTCTGGCCTCTGTGCTGTCCTGGAGCCGGTGCCTCTCGACCTGGGGAGACTGAGGCTTGTGGAGGAATCCACGGGAGAAGCGGGGAGGCCTTCGCTGGCCTGGCGTGAGCTAAATGCCGGAGTCTGTTGCTGGCTTTCCTATCTGCTTCTGGAAGTTTCTGCCTCCCACAGAAAAGGCAGAACACACTGACTGTACCTGAAAGTCCGGAAGGTTCCAGGGTCACAGGAAAGGTGGCCCTGTGGCTCTTTCTGTGTCTGAGGGGCAGCTCTGTCCCTCCTGGGGAGAGGACAGGGCAGACATACCACACACATTCATGTTTGGCAAGAGGAGCCTGAACCGGGCAAGAAAGGGAAGCCCGAGGGTGAACAGTGACCAAAACACAGAAAATACATGTCCATTTCCTCAGTGGTTATTAATCACGATTTATTGCAAGTAAACGCCAGGAGAGCAAGATCCGTTCATTCCCTCCTCTTACAAAGTAGCAGGACGCCTCCCCCTACTGCGATTCTTGTAATTTATTCTGCCGCCACCTGCAAGGGCTCAGCGAGGAAGAGGGTGAGGCCCGGGCTGTGCTTTCCTTCCCCGCCCCCACGGACGGCTGCGCACTTTGGCCCGAGGAGGCAGGCTCCCTGTTTGTCGTTTTTCCACCTCCCCCCCCCGCCCCCCGAGGCCAGCAGAAACACAGCAGCATGTAGGGGTGCAGGAGAACACTCTGTGGAACAGGAGCCTACCCTCTTTTATATAAAACACGTGCTTTCTAAAAACATGTCCTTTCTTACTTCCTGAGACTCGGGAAGCCGACCTGGAGCCGTCAGCTGTGAGCCCGGGAGCTGCTGGACTTGGAAGGGACGAGCCAATTCTTACCTCAGCCCCCTGCTCACGGAGCCCCTGCGTGGACCCGGCCCCTGGGAGTTCAGGTCCGGGCCCAGGTCATTACCATCCTCCCCTCGCCCCCAGAGAGGAGATGTCCACGTGCCCGCCTCCCACCTCCAGTGGACGGCGCCGCATGCTGGCGAGCTGGGTGCCAGGCCAAGGCCGGGCGAATGCTCGGGTGTCGGAGGGCGTGCCCCCCCCACTGAGGGCCAACCCCAGCTGTCCCTCCTGTCCCTGGCCACCCTCATCCCCTCCACACCATGACACCATCTTTCCAGGCTAGAGGACAGAGGTGAAATCTGGGGGCCCGTCACCCAGCAAGGCCCCAAGATTCTTCTCGGTCACTTCCAAAAGCCAGGCAGCCTTGCTGTTCCTTCACATAAGTCCCCCACCCCCTGGTTCCCCGGAAGTTTCTGTCATTCCATGGAGAAAGCTGTGTTCCAACGAAGCCTACCTCTCGCCCAGCCCCAGGCAGAGAACACGGAGCCCACGCTAGGGACCGAGAAAGTAGATAGAAGTGACAGAGCAGGGAGCAGAACAGCCTCAGACCCCTGGTCTTCACAGCCTTTCCCCACACACCCCTGCCCCCTCTCCGAGACGGACCCTCGGCTCTGGCCCAGGGAGGGGGGTGAAAGCTGGCCCCCCCACCCCCTGTCATCCTGAGACCTTGGCCTGGGCCGCCTCCGCACCACCCTCTCCAGCCAGCCCGTGTGTTTCGCCAATTAAGCACCTGTGAATCCGTACCTACTACTGGTTTGGGGTTGTCAGTTCTGTCTTTTTTTTTTTTTTTAATTAAATAAAAAGATTTTTAAAATGTTCTCTTCCTGATGTGGGGGGAGGGGTAGAGCTCCCCTCAAGCCTTGGTGGGCACTTAGGGTCAACAGTGTCCCTGAGTCGGGGGGATGGTGCGGACCCCCCGAAGATGGGGGAGGGTAGATTTGGTGCTGGTCAAGGCCAGTTTCTCTGGCTCTTGTCTGGGTCACTGACCCCTCTCCCTGGCACCATCAGCTGGTTTTTGACTTCTGGGTGGTGCCGTCGAGGGGCTTTTCACAGATGGGCTAGAAGATGAAGGGTGTCATTTGGGCGTCTGGGCAGCTGATCAAGCCAGGTCTCAGAACCCGCAGGGTGGAGGCCGGCCAGATAGAGCCCTGAGCTGCTCCAGAGGGGGCGGCTCCTAAGACCACTTACCAGCCCTTCCCATCCAAGCTCTGAACTGATTAAGAAATAGAAGAGCTTGAATGCCAAATTGAGTTTTGTTACCCATAAAGCTGGACAGGAGAATGTGGCCCCAACCAAAGGCCAAAAGGGACAGAGCCACCCAATCCTAGGCCACCAGGAGGAGTGAGGTAAGGGACAGAGAGAGGGATCAGAGGGACCCCTCTGATCAGGGTGATTTCGACACACTGCAAAGGACAACCCCGCCCCCATTGCCGAAGAATGATCTGATCCAAAATGTCAGGCTGACAAACCATGCACTAGCCTGATTTTACAGTGAGGGAAACTGAGGCACAGAAGGGTGAGGTCACTTGTGCAAGATCACACAGCGGCTTTTTGGTATTTGCACCCAGGCTGTGGACAATACTAAGAAAGCTCATTTATTTATTCGTAGTATTTCCTTTCCAACTTCTGCCTCTTTTGAGCCAACAGTTTTGGAAACAGGAGTTGGGGGTTGAAGAAGGAAATGGGAAAATGGCCACCTGTCCTGGGTTAGGGTCAGGGGTGACTTTGCCCCTGGGTTTGGGAGCAAAATGAGGCTGGAATTCAAACAGGCAGCAGGAGAGCAAGTCCAGAAACCTGGCCCAGCTTGGCACTGGGACTCACTGCTCAGTGGCCTCCTGCCCCGCTCACCCCGGTGGCTGCAATGAGTGGGCAGTGAAGTGGCCAAGAGCCAGAAAGGGGGATCAAACCCTCCAGTCACCTGCGGGCGGCACTGGGCAAGTCGCCCAGCCTCTCTCGGAGCCCTCAGTCAAATGAGGAAGGTTACGATTCCCTCCCAGGATCCCTGGGAGATGAAATCAACTTCAACATAAAAAAGGAAACATTCAGAAATGCCCCAGCCAGGAGCCTGGCATTAGAGTGAGCTTCCAGGAGTGTTTGTGGACTAACGACACTCNGCCCCAGCCAGGAGCCTGGCATTAGAGTGAGCTTCCAGGAGTGTTTGTGGACTAAGGAGTTTGTCAAATGGCAGAGAAAAAGAGACAGCAGGCTCTCTGGTGTTTCTTCTTACAAGGACACTAATCCTATCGTGAGGGCCCCACCCTTATGACCTCATCTAAACCTAATTACCCACCGAAGGCCCCCTTCTCCAAATGCCATTACATTGGGGTTTGGGCTTCAACATATGAATTGGTGGGGGTGGGGGAGACATAATTCAGTCCCTGGCACCCACCAGGGGCTAAGCTGATAGATGCGTTATCTCTCATTCTACAGCAGCCTCCAGGCAGCACCACAGCCTTCATTTTCTAGGTGTAGGAAGGGCAGCTTAGAGAGGCTAGTGAGTCACAGGAAGCCACACGGCTGGAGACCAGCAGAGCCCGGAGCTGACCCTGCGGTGCCGGCTCCATCACTGGCCCCTGGTTCCCACTCCCTAAGGCGCTCTCCCTCCTGATGCCCCGGAAAGGGTAGGGCCTGTGCGGAGGATGCTGACCGTGCCCAGCCCCGGCTCCCAGCAAATGCGGCATCCACAGGGCCCCCTTCCTGGCCCAACAAGGCCCTGGGGAGCCGAGCAGGCAGCCTGGCAGTGGCCTCCATGAGCTGAAAAGTTCTGTTTAAAGGAACTTTTAATAAACAGAAGGAGAGTAGACTTGCCTGCAGTCCTGGTGCTGCCAGCCTCGCAGTGGGTTTACTTCCCGTGGAGGAGGCCATCAATCCTTCATGCTTTGCTGGCTGGGCCAGAGGACTGGGGACCTCTGTGCGGCACAAACCTGCCCCCCACCAAGGGAAGGCGCGGCCTGGCTCTCCGATGGGCCTGCCATGTGGTTGCAGCTGACGCTGAATGTGCCCCACTTATGACACTTTCCAAGACCCGCAGAGGCCCTGTGCTGGAGAGCTTAGGATGCCCATCCCAACACCAGGAAACTCAACATACATTTTTATTTCTTCAACTGACACCCTATCTGCTTGTAGTACTAAAGTTAAAAGAGCTTCTTTCTGCCCAGCCAGGCGTGGCTTAGCAGTTGAGCATTGACCTAGGATCCAGGAGGTCACGGCCCGATTCCTGGTCGCCCAGGTTTCGGGCTCGATTCTCCAGTCGGGGGCGTGCAGGAGGCAGCCAACGGGTGACGATTCTTTATTGATTTCAGAGAGGAAGGGAGAGGGGGAGAGAGAGAGAGAGAAACATCGATGATGAGAGAGTCATTGATCAGCTGCCTCCTGCACGCCCCTG